GAATGATGTTTCTCCGTTTTCTCATTTTCTCTCTTTGCTGCTTTCTTACATATCAGTGTTCTCTAAAATTTACATCAAACCTCTTTGCTTTTTTCTAAGCCCTTCTCTTGGTGTTCTCATTCCCTTTCCCCTCAGAACTTCAGTCATCACTGCTGGACTGAAAAACCACAAATCTCATGATGTTAAAGGCACATTACCAACCGCATTGCCTCACTTTCATAATAAGTTCAACATGTTTAGTCTGAAGTAATCTTCCTACCCCTAAACAGTTCATCTTCTGATTTCCATTTTTAATTTACTAATAGCATTTTTAAACACTCAGCTTAAAAATCTTGGTAGTTTTCAACTCCTTTCTATCTTTCTCCCCTTTCCTTATCCAAGTCGAATAAACTGAGTTTTCCCTTCAAAATATCTACTGCCATTCCTTTTAACATCTGTCATCAACCTATCATCTTAATTACTGCAACAAATTAACCTTTCTGGCCACCTGACTCTTACCATGCCAAAGTTTCTAGTTTTAGTTCTCCAGTACTGGTGTTTGAACTCAAAGCCTCCCAGCTTGCTAGGCAGATTGATGAGAACTTCCAATATTAACCTTCCATGTAGTTAGGTGTCCCCATATCTGGCTACTGGTTGAGAAGGGGACTCGTATGTATGCCCAGGCTGGTCTCAGTGATCCTCCCAACCTCTAACTCCCAAGTAGCTAGTTTCAGAGGCCCTTTGATGAAATATGGTATAAGATGCAGGAAGAGTGGCAGAAGGCAGAACACTCACTTTACAGAATGCTGACTATGAAGTTCAATAAGGCCTTGAAGTAGACACTACTAATTCTATGTGCACAGAATGCTAAGACATTTATTCAAACTACAGAGGGAAAGATAGTAAGTTTACAGTGAAGAAACTACCTTAACCAAGTGATCAAGGTTAAAATCACCAGTGACAGTAAATATTGACATTATGAATGTCATGAATGGATGGGGAGGCCACAAGTATGGTGTCCACATGCCTGTAATTCTAGCATTCAAGAGGCTAAAGCAGGAAGATCACAGATTTGAAGCCAGCCTGAGTCACAGGGATGAGTAAGGAATGGGAAGGGGGGTAGGGGTGGGGGAGAGGGAAGGAGGTTGGGAGAGGAAAAAAAGAGGGAAGAAAAGGGGGGAAAAAAGAGGGAAAAAAAAGAGGGAAAGAATGAAGGGAGAGCTTCCCAAATCCTCACTGACTCCTTTCCAGTTTCCCAGTTTGTTTCCTCATCCTCTGTTTTGAGCATATGCGAAATTGCAATGACAACATTCACATTTTCCCTTATGTTAGTTATTTCTGTATCCTTAAGGATACTTTTTTGTATTCTACAAAGGTTGAGTATAATAGACAATGATTTTTTCTAATTTGGTTAAAAGAGAAAACTTTTATTTAAAGAGGTAAGTACCTAGAACAATCAAGTGCAACATTCTGATAAATTCTGAATCTCTTTAAATTAAAAAATTCCCAAAACATATATGTCTGGTTTGAAATCCTGCTGAAAACCTTTTTTAATGAAGACAGTATTTATTTGCTTCTGATTCAAGCTTGAAAATAGAGATAAGCATCTACAACCATTAAAGAAGGTCAAGTTATTTGTTGATTTATGGCTCATAACTTAAACTCTGTAGCAAATAGTTACTCAACTCAAATAATATTCTAAGAGTTGGACTTTGGCAGCTTCAAATAATTACATCAAATACAATAGGAAGCATTGTATGCTGATAAAAGACCAAAAAAATCATATTTTCCTATTGCAAAAACTTACTCTACTACTTGTTTATCAAGCCAGGCACGGGTGGCTCACTCCTGTAATCCTAGCTACTCAGGATGCTGAGATCTGAGGATCGTGGTTCAAAGCCAGCCAGAGCAGCAAAGTCTGTAAGACTCTTATCTCCAATTAACCACCAGAAAACCAGAAGTGGTAGAGCACTGGCCTTGAGCTGAAGTGCTGAGGAACAGCGCCCAGCCCCAGCGTTCAAGCCCCACAACTGACCCAAAAAAAAAAAAAAAAAAAAATTTTATAACTGACAAAGTGTAAAATCTAAGAAGTGAGAGGTGAAGCTACTTGGCATCTCCCTATAAAGATTCAGTTGTATAGATAACTTTCCAACTTCTGTGACAGGTAGCATAAAAAAAAGTAGTCCAAAGAACACAGTGGTTAAATGAAGTTTCTTCATATCCAACTATATTGCATAACTTCAGAAGGCAGAGTACTTTTAGTGACAATCCAAAAGGGGGCCATTCTCATAAAATACAATGTAAAGCTGGGACACCAATGGCTCATGGTGGCTGTGGTGATGAAATACAAGCCACATGTATATATAAACATGTCTGAGCTCTACCACCTAACAATTACAGCATCTTGGTCAAGTTGCTTAATATCTAAGTTTTAAGTTCTTCATCAGTAAAATTGGATTAATAAAAAATATCTACAAATGGTATAGGGATTAAATAATGGCTGTACAATTACCTTGGTGCCTGATATATGAAAAGTGTGAATCATTACTGGTGATAATCATGATGATGAAAAAAAGATGAATTTACATTCCAATTCTGGCTCCATCATTTTCAGGCCTTTTACTATCTTTAACTAGGCATGGAGATACATGCCTATAATCCCAGCACTCAAGTGGCTAATGTGAGAGAATAGCAATTCTGAGGCCAGTAAAAGCTATATAGAGAGACTGTGTCTTAAAACAAATCTTGCTTGGCAAAAATTATGCAACACCTTCAGGAATGCCTATTTCCATAAACACTGACTATAGTTATGACGACTATTACTTGGATCCATTCTCCCTCCTTTTCCCTCCCTTTCTCTTTTACACACACACACACACACACACACACACACACACACACACACACACACACACACAGAGTAAAAAAAAAATCATGAGGTTAAACTGTAACAGATAAGACAAACCAAAAGCCTATAAAAATGAGCGAAAATGTAATCTAAAACAAAAATAAGGCATTCAACACAACTTACCTAAACTGTAGTAATAGCTTACCTATTCTTTCCCTAGTAATCCTATCTACATGATTCTGCCAAATGCAAACTGACCAAACACATTTTCTCAGTGAGAAAATACAATTCAAACTCTTTGAATGGCCTTTGAATGGCTTTGAATGGCCTTTCCTAGCAGATAATTCTAATCTCATTCACCACTACCCCACCTAAAATACACAAAAAGAAGCTAGACACAGTGGGTCACAGCTGCAATCCCAGCTATAAAAGGAAGACCAACTATAGGAGGACAGAAACCCAAGGGGAGCCCTGGACAAAAGCACAGATTCTATTGGGAAAATAACCAAAGCTAAAAGGGCCTGGGTATGTGGCTTAAGTGGCAGAATGCCTACCTAACAAACATGAGAACTTGGGTTCAAACCCCAGTACTCCTTAAAACATACAATAACATGTACAATGTGAATACACATGTATATACAATGTATGTACAATGTGAATACACATGTATATACACAGCCAGGTGTAATCATGGTACAAATCTGCTCATCACTTGGGAAATGGAAGCAAGAAGAAATTCCAGGTCAATCTGGGCTACATTGCAATTTTGTTGTTGTTGTTGTTGTTCCTTGTGCATGCCCAGCATTTTGTTGAATAAGAATGCTTCCCATTTCCCTAATTCTATCTTCCTAATCCTACCTAATGAAGGAAAAAATGTAACCAGCAGGCGTTTCCTTATACCTAATACTAGCAATCCCTTCCATTCAGCAATCCATTTGAAGATGGTACCTTACAGTGACAGGAACTAATGATAGCCATTTTAATCAGGAAGGAGTGTATCTATATTAAATCACTTTCCAAATGATTGCCTTTTTAAATAAATGAGCCTTGTCTCTCTCAGGAGCTCTATTAATCAGTGCTTAATGTATCTGTACTTTATTATAGTACAGAAAGTTACATTGCCTTACACTCAAAGTTGTTCAATACTTGTTTAGTAACAAATAAATGAAGAACTAAATCATGTGAAACAAACTAAGCTTACTTTTTCAGTTAGAGATAACTCAATTATAGATATGACTAATCAGTTCTCTAACTCTTCCCTGAATCTCCTGCCTATTCTATCACACCTAAATCATAGTTTGTGTTTCCAAAAAGTCTTTAAAAAAAAGATACTCCAGGGGCTGGGAAGGTGGCTCAGTGGTAGAGCGCTTGCCTTGCATGCCAGAGGCCCTGGGTTCGATTCCTCAGCACCACATAAGCAAAAAGAAAAAAGCCGGAAGTGGCGCTATAGCTCAAGTGGTAGAGCACTAGCCTTGAGCTGAAGAGCTGAGGGACAGCGCCCAGGCCCAGAGTTCAGGCCCCACGACTGGACCCAAAAAATAAAATAAAAAAGATACTCCATGGGTAGTAAGACAAACACAACATTCGTTCTTAATCACATTACCAATAAGCAGTGAGGTAAATCAGTTAAAGGAAAAAGGGCTTTCAAAGCAATTAATTAAACCCATGACGAGCAAAATGATGACTATGAGATTCTATAAAGGTGTCCTATCCAATCACCCCCTGGTTCAGTAACTTAAAAGCAAAGATTCATTTCCCCCAAATTCTTTTTTTTTTTTCCATAATCAAAACTTTATTGAAAAACAGACACCAAAATAGGAAATCGTTGTTGTGTACCTTACAAAATCAAACATAATTACATTATCTTGGTAGAGTCACTGAAATTCTGGCAAGGCTTTCTATGAGGAAATGTAAATTCAGAAAGTTGTATAGATCAGCCGGGCGCTGGTGGCTCACGCCTGTAATCCTAGCTACTCAGGAGGCTGAGATCTGAGAATCACAGTTCAAAGCCAGCCCGGGCAGGAGAGACCGTGAGACTCCTATCTCCAATAAACCACCAGAAAACCGGAAGTGGCGCTGTAGCTCAAGTGGTAGAGCGCTTGCCTTGAGCTGAAGAGCTGAGGGACAGCGCCCAGGCCCAGAGTTCAAGCCCCACGACCGACAAAAAAAAAAAAGAAAGTTGTATAGATCATTAGTGTTGTTTTCTTCTAAAGGAACAACCTTGGGCTGGGAAGGTGGCTCAGTGGTAGAGTGCTTGCCTTGCATGCATGAGGCCCTGGCTTCGATTCCTCAGCACCACATAAACAAAAAGAAAAAAGCCGGAGGTGGTGCTGTGGCTCAAGTGGTAGAGTGCTAGCCTTGAGCTGAAGAGCTGAGGGACAGCGCCCAGGCCCAGAGTTCAGGCCCCAAGACTGACAAAAAAAAAAAAAGAAAGGAACAACCTTCTGTAAGCCTGGCTTTCCCTCCTGTAGGTTGGCACAGCACTGTGGAACAGCCTACACAAAGAACCACTGTCTGAGCATGGCTGAAAAGCGTGGTAATCTTGTAGCAACCTGGACATTTTACATCCATAAAATAAGAATTTGGACTTTGAACTAGCCGTTTCTTTTTATGCTTTTTCTTTACGTCTTCCAAGGACGGATGGAGTAAATCTCTAGCCAAGAGCATGGTGCCTCCTCTTGCTGGGCTCCCAGCCTCGCTCCCCCAAATTCTTGAAATTACCAAAGAATGTTTTGTTAATTCAGATACTTGATTGCAACTATGAATTGCTTTTAAATTATTATAAACATCAGTATTCAAGTTATTTTAGCACAAACAATAAAGGCTCTGTCAACAAGAAGAAAATAGGAGAGAAGATCAATGACAGCACCAGCTTGGCTCATTTCTGCCGGGAGAACACTGGTACTGAATGGCACAAGTGTGAGAGAACAAGCACATGACTACAAAAGTGATAGAAGACACCAAGGAAAAAAGACCACTAAAAAGAACCATGCCTCAGTGGGAACAATGAAGGCAGGGGCTGGAGAGATGAAGAAGGATCCACTACCATCTGTTCTAAAAGCCCTCATAATTCTCATTATAATTCTTATAATGCTACCAAACTTCCAAATTTTGAGCCAGTCCAACTGCTGACTCTATCACATACAGCTGAGTGAGCTTTAGCACTTTATTTATTAGCCTTTCAGTTTTTTCAGCTACAAAATTAGAATAATAGTGGCTACCACTAAGTGAACATTACTAGACAGAAGTTATGTCCTTTAGTGCCTACTATCTACTTAGTAGAGATCATTTTTCTCATTTCACAGGGAAAAAATATAAAATCAAATAAAAAGTCCTTTTTACCAAAGCAAGATTGCTTTCCAGAGGAGAATATTACCTAACTAGCAGTGTTGGAAATTAGAAGTAAATGCATAATATTTAGCACCAGATTTAGTACTGTCTCACACTAGGATGGCAGGAAATCATTGTACAAATACAACCTGTACATGAATAAGTCACTCAAGTGAACAGCAATAAAATCCCACAAATAAGTTTTCCATCCTATCATTAGTAGTAATTCTACAGAACTAAAAACCAAGAACCACCCATTCAGATTCTCTTTCCCTCTCTCTCTCACACACACAGACACAAAGACACACACACACACACACACACACACACACACACACACACATACATATAGTGTACATAGTTTTAAAGTTTAAAGTCAAAACATATCACCCAGGGGCTGGGAAGGTGGCTCAGTGGTAGAGCGCTTGCTTTGCATGCATGAGGCCCTGGGTTCGATTCCTCAGCACCACATAAGCAAAAAGAAAAAAAAAAGCCAGAAGTGGCGCTGTGGCTCAAGTGGTAGAGCGCTAGCCTTGAGCTGAAGAGCTGAGGGACAGCACCCAGGCCCCCCCCCCACCGCAAAAAAAAAAAATATCACCCAAAGAAATAGAAAGCATGAGACATTATTAAAGTGATCTCTGACTGAATCTGAACACCAATTATCAAATATTTTACTTTTGAGAGGGCTATAGACCTCACACCTCAGACAGCAGGTGCTATAAGGAATAAAGCTATCTAACTTCCAAAAATAATTCCCAGAAGGAGGCATCTGTTACTCTGAAAAATCTCAGCAAACCACTTCCCAGAATTGAAAACACACTGCCAAAATCTAAATGAATTTTGCCAACAACATTCTGGTAATAGAAAAAAAAAAGAACTACTCTGTTTCTGGAGGAAAATGCTACTTTCCAGTACCCACAAAATAGGATCTTCATTAGTTCTTTAAACAATGTGATAATATTGAAAAATAAGTATAAAGAAATATAAGCTCACAAATAATCTTCTGTTTGGAGGTGATTTATAATACTAAATGAAGTTATGACTCTTGCCTTTAATTCTAACAAGCTCAAGAAAAATCTATGAGAACGCTAAAAAAATTTTTTTCCAAGGTTTAATTACAATGTAGAGTAAAAAGCAGAAACAACTGTCAGCCAGCATGTTAAAAACTTCCTCAAACTTGAGTTCTAAAATCTCAATTTCAAAGTGTTGCTGTGAAAAGAAAAACCTCAAAAAGTACCAACAGTCCATACATTTCCAGTCCAAAGATACCCAGTGCTTACTGATACACAACTACCAGACTAACCAAACAGTACACTCAACCTCCAGCAAAAGACCTCAGGCAATCACAAGAGCATTTGTCATGATACAGGAATGGGGAGAAAGGTTTTAGAGGGAGGAGGCAACTACAACTTAGCAACAAAAGGAAACTGTTCATCTAAACCACAAAGGCTTCTTCCCACAGAATAGGGTATCAGAGAGAAGACAATGCTCTGCCAACTACTCAACACTAATAATTTATTATAAAGCTAAAAGTGTGGCTTAACCAATTAAAGACAAAAGAGTAAACAAGATACTAAAACTAATTTGAAAGGAGGACATACCACAAACTTTACTAGAGGTTTAAGAAAAACAATTATGAGACTATTTCCTTCAAGGGCATTCCTGATGAGGAAGGTCATTAAATAATACAAAGTTTGTAGAGAGGCAGCAGCATCCAAAGGGCAGCCTTTAAAAAAAAAAAAAAAAAAAGGCCTTTGAACTACAGCCAGAAGGAATAATAAAAGCAGCTTTTGCAGCTCTTTAGAAAATAACCAAAACACTGCTAATGTTTGAATGCCTAATTCAGAATTCTCAAACTGAACTTCATTGATTTGTTGGACAAAACTGCTGCAACAGTCTTGAACATTGAAATAGGCCACACTATTTAAGAAATGTCATATTATGTAATTATTTAAATGAAATTTGTTATGTAAACTGAGCTATTGGTAAATTTTATTTTATTTTTTTACTTTTTTTAACTAGTCCTGAGGCTTGAACTCAAGGTCTGCACACTGTCCCTGAGCTTCTTTTGCTCAAGGTTAGCTCTACCACTTGAGCCACAACACTACTTCTGTCTTTTTTTGTTTATATGGTACTAAGGAATCAAACTCAAGGCTTTCATGCATGCTAGACAAGCACTCTACCACTCAGCCACATTCCCAGCCATGTTTAGTCAATTTAAAAAGATCAGTATCTAAAGGTTCTCAACAATAAAGATGAGGACAGTAAAAGAATTCCAACCCTATTTCAGGCAATAGATTAAGTTATACCATCAACAGCCTCTTCAGTAAATGGTGCTGGCAAAATTGGTTAATCACCTGTAAAAAACTAAAGCTAGATCCTTATGTATCACCCTGCACCAGAATCAACTCCAAATGGATCAAAGATCTCAGAATCAAAGCAGACACCCTGAAAACATTAAAGGAAGGAATAGGAGAAACCCTAGATCTCCTTGGCACAGGCCAAAAATTTTTTTAATAAAGACCCAGAAACACAACAAATCAAAGAAAGGTTGGACAAATGGGATTGCATGAAGCTGCAGAGCTTCTGCATGTCAAAGGACATAGCTAGCAAGATCAATAGAAAGCCCACGGATTGGGAAAAGATCTTCACTAGCCATACAATGGACAAGGGTCTCATATCTAAAACATATCTGGAACTCAAAAAATTAAATCCCCCAACAACAAATCCTCAAAGAAACAACTACCCTTAATAAATAAGTGGGCTAAAGGCTTAAAGAGAAACTTCTTTGAAGAGGAAATAAGTACGGCCAGTAGACACATGAAGAAATGCTCAACCTCTCTAGCCATAAAAGAAATGCAAATCAAAACAACATTGAGATTCCACCTCACCCCATTAGAATAGCCATTCAAGAACTCTAATAACAATAGATGCTGGAGGGGAGGATTGGACAGAAGGGAACCCTACTGCATTGTTGGTGGGAGGGTAAACTTGTTCAACCACTTTGGAAAGTAGTATAGAGACTCCACATAGAGCTCCCGTATGACCCAGCAATCCCACTTTTGGGCATTTACCCAAATGATCACAAACAAGACCATACTAAAGCTACCAGCACAACTATGTTTATTGCAGCATTATTTACCATAGCTAAGATATGGAACCAACCCAGATGCCCCTCAGTAGATGAATGGATCAAGGAAACGTGGTATATATACAATGGAATTCTATACCACCATCAGAAAGAATGACATCGCCTAGTTTGTTAGGAATGGAAAGACTTGGAAAAAATTGTATTAACTGAAATGAGTCAGGCCCAAAGAAACATAGGTCCGGGCTGGGAAGGTGGCTCAGTGGTAGAGCACTTGCCTTGCATGCCTGAGGCCCTAGGTTCAATTCCTCAGCACCACATACAAACAGAAAACAGAAAAAAGCCGGAAGTGGCGCTGTAGCTCAAGTGGTAGAGCGCTAGCTTTGAGCTGAAGAGCTGAGGGACAGCGCCCAGGCCCAGAGTACAGGCCCCATGACCGGACCAAAAAGGAAAAGAAACATAGGTCCCATGGTTCCCCTTATTTGCAATAACTAGTATATGTCTGGGACAAGTAGAAAAGGTCAAAAGCTATGTACATATGACCAGATAGGATGAAGTTAAGCAAAATGAACCCCAAGATAGGGACACAAGTGGTTTTTTCTTTCTTGCTATTGTTTCTAATGTATTTATAAGGTATATCCTGTGATTTTTTTGTTGCTTTGTATGTTCCTTCCCCATGGAATAACCCCTGTTTTTACTGTATTTGATGTCTGTATAATTTGGGGAGGGGAAGGGAAAAAACAAAATGTTTAAATAGGGATACAGGTTAACCCATTTTAACAATGAGATAACAAGACACTATGTTGAAAAATGAATTTTCAATTGGGGGGTGTAATTGTAGAGGTGGGAGGGAAGGGATGGTAGGGGAAAAACAAAGGAGGAGGCAGCAATGCTTGATAAGAAATGTACTCATTGCTTTGCTCATGTAACTGTAACCATTCTGTACAGTATTTTCACAATAAAAAATTTTTTTAAAAAAAGAACAAACAGTAGGCAGTATTCTATCCCCAAAAGTAGAATCAGATCAGTCAGCCCAAACAAAGACCCAAAGAGTCAAGACACACCCTTCTATGTAGTAACTTCTATGTAGGAACTGGTTAGAAGACAGTTTTATTTGCCAAAGCCAGTGGCTCATGCCTATAAACCTAGCTACCCAGGAAGTATCAATCCCAGGGACTCTTACCTACAACTATTAAAAAGCAGGATCTGAAGGCATGGTTCAAATAGTAAAACAGTTTAGTTAAAACTCAAGATCCTGAGTTAGAGTCCCAATACAGCAA